CAGTTGGCTTAACAAATGAAATAGTGGAAAAGGCAACCAGAATTCACTAGGCGAACCTAGCACAGTGCGTAGGCAACTATCACTTTTACCATTTTTTCAAAATATTGTTGCTTTTCCACAACAAGCTTTTCATTAAAAACGGCCTCAAGCTCAATAAAAGTTGTTTAATATAATAACTGTTATAAGGCCATAAAATAACAAATAACTTCAGGACGAGCACACTTAAAAGTTAAAATTTTCAATAATAGAATTATTAACAAAAGCAAATACCACATGATCAATTTTAAATAGCACTGCAATAGCTGCGCTTGATTGTAGTTGGCTTAACAAATGAAATAGTGGAAAAAATCAACAAGAATTCATAAGGCGAACTTAGCCCAGTATGCAGGCGACTGGCTGAGTCAATGGCATCGTCGGTTCGAATCCTACTGAAAGTAGTCTGATGAGGAAATGAGGTGATTTTCGAAATAGCTATCACTTCTACCAATTATTCAAATTATTGTTGCTTTTCCGCAATAAGTTTTACATTAAAAATGAAAACGCCCTCAAGCTTAATAAAAATTGTTGAATATAATTGTTATAAAGCCATAAAATAACAAGAAACAAATAACTTAAGGACGCGCACACCTAAAAGTTAAAAATTCTAATAATAGAATTATTAACAAAAACCAACAACCACGTGATCAATTTTAAATAACACTGGAATAACTTCGCTTTATTGTAGTTGGCCTAACAAGTGAAATAGTGGAAAAAATAAACAGGATTTCACAAGGCGGACTTAGCACAGTGCGTAGGCTGAGTCAGTGGTACCGTCGGTTCGAATCCTACTGAAAGAATCCTGATGAGGAAATGTGGTGATTTCCGAAATAGCTATCACTTCTACCCTTTGTTCAAATTATTGTTGCTTTTCCACAATATGTTTTGTAACGAACCCGGTTTATCCGGTCTATAGCTGGGCTGTGGCTCAGTCGGATGTTGGGTTCCCTTATCCAAACGTTAAAATAAATACGCGAATGATTCTTTTAGTGACGCTTCTTTATTTCGCTATTTATTTGGCAGCGTTTGCACGTCACACCAATATAACGTATTGCTTGGCAGCGTTTTCACGTCACACCATATACTTTAACTACCTTCTCTTCACAATCATTGCTTATTCGTTCCAATCTGCGTTTGCACGATCGACTGGAGTATACGACTACTCTACCAGAAGTGATTTTTAATTCCGATTGCAGCTCTATTTATACTGTCCTGCACGCAGGCAGACAGTTATCCTAACAATATTGTTGCTAACATTTTGCTTATTTCCTTTTACTTGCTCCTACATTAGTACGTATGTATGTACTTCAACCCTCAATATAAATATGTACATATGTATGTCAATTTCACATATCTTATAAATATTATAAATGTGAAAGTTTGTATGTTTGGATGTTTGGGAAATCATCACGTGGAAACGACTACACGGATTTGCATGAAATTTCGTACGCAGATAGCTTATGGGCCAGATTGGTTAATAGGCTAATCTTTTAAGAGTTTCCACCTGTTAGAAAAGTTTCATTTATTTAATATGCGGGAACTACTGAATGGGTTTGCATGAAAATTTGCACACAGATAGCTTATAACCTAGATTGGAAATTAGGCTACTTTTCTTAAGAGTTGCCACCTGTTAAAAAAAAGTTTCACTAAATTAATTCGCGGAAACGACTGAATGGATTTGCATGAAATTTTGCAAGCAGATAGCTTATGACCTACAGTGGGAAATAGGCAAATTTTTTGGAAGAGTTGCCACCTGTTAAAAAAGTTTAATTACATTAATACGCGGAAACGACTTAACGGATTTGCATGAAATTTTGCACACAGATAGCTTATGACCTAGGTTATAGTAGTCTACCTTTTTAAGAGTTGCCACCTGTTAGAAATGTTTAATTTAATTAATACGCGGAAATGAGTGAACTGATTTGCATGGAGGTTTTCGCACAGATAGCTTATGAGCTAGGTTGAAAAATAGGCTACTTTTTTAAGAGTTACCACCTGCTAAAAAAGTTTAATTAAATTAATACGCGGAAAAGCCTGAACGGATTTGCATGAAATTTTGCAAGCAGATAGCTCATGACCTACAGTGGAAAATAGGCTAATTTTTTGGAAGAGTTGCCACCTTTTAAAAAAGTTTAATTACATTAATACGCGGAAACAACTTAACGGATTTGCATGAAATTTTGCACACAGATAGCTTATGACCTAGGTTAGAAAGTAGGCTACCCTTTTAAGAGTTGCCACCTGCTTGAAAATGAAATTTTGCTCAAAGATAGTTTATGACCTGGATTGAAAAATAGGCTACGTCCTTAACCGGTTTTCCGATCGGAGCAAAATTCAGTAAACTTACTACGGATTTCGGAAGGATGGTCTTAGACTGAAAGTAAGTCCGATAACTTAAGGCCCCTCCCATACAAATTGGAATTTTCATATTACATACATATCTCTGGAAGTATTTGTGGGAGAGAACTGAAACTTGGTATAGTGATATGTATGTGAAATCAATGTTCGCATTAATCGATTGATGTTTTAATTAGTTAGTTAATTCGATTAAATTGAATCTGATTACAGTTAATCATGATTAATTTTAATCCGACTAAAGAGTTAATGGTAACCGCGATT